TTTTCAATCTCATAAATTGTTTATAATGACTTTTGCTAAAATTTCAAAATCAAAAGTTATCGAAACAAATTCTATGGGACTGAGAATTATTATTTTCTACTTTTTAGTCCATTTATAAAAGCGTTGTATATTAAAAAGTTTTTTATATTACTTATTTTTATTCGATATTTCTTAAATAATCCATTTGCACGGTGGACCGAAATGGAAGCGAACAAGAATTCAAATTTGTTATAATAATAATTCAAATTTAAAAGGTGATGTATAAAGAAAACCAGTCTTTTTTCACTTCGCGTCATATGAGTGATGTGTTTATACCTGTTTACTAACCGATGTGAGAAATAAAAAAGCGATTTGAAAACAAATTCGAGTCAATACACTTTTGAATTTCTGAGCGTAGGTAAATTTGGTTTATGCTTCCGTTTTGAATCACAGCGAACTGGGTCAAAGCGCTTTATGTGTTGGTATAAACAAGGTATATGTTGCATCATTTTCCAAAAGCTTTGGGGAATTTGTATGCTGTTACAACAACAGCCACGAAGTCTCAGGCACAGTACAAATTTAACACTGAATTTTCGCCCCTTTATATGAAATCGAAAAGTTATATAATTTCTCTACGTTTCCCTGGATTTCATAGTTAGCGGGGATATCAGCTCTAGTTTCCACGAGGACATATAATCGCCAACAGGATATCTTTTCCATTAAGGGTCTTGATATTCCAGGTATACGTGCACAACTAGAACCTGACTAAATCATGCATGTCTGATGCGTACGACAAAAACCGCTGTTGGAAATATCGGCAAAAATTCTTGCTGCGGAGCAAGAATAACCGTATGAGAGTATTTTTTTAATGTTTTTTTTTTCAATATCTTAATTTCATTACCCTGATGAGATAATTTAATATTTTTATCAGAAACTTACTAGGTCGATTGAGAACCCATCAGCCTAAAAAAAAAACAATAATCAGGTAGGTTTTGCAATACACTTCCGAGTGAATTTCAGTGAACTTTTTATTCAAAAATAAAAAGTCGAAAATCAGGGAGCCACACGAATAGTTTGTTGTTTCACCAACCCCTGTTATGAAATTTTCGCTAACAAACATTCTGCTCGTTCCTACGACAGCCGGAACGACCCAGACTTATATCTGCCCAAGGACTGTCCCTTCAGGAACACTCCCCAAAAAATATTAAATTATCTCATAACATACAGCATGAATATCTTATGAAATATAATGCAGGAGACCGCATAGTCCGGTCAAATTAGACCAAAAAAGTTAAAAAAAAAAACTCCCACCCAGCTGAAAATTGGTAGGATTGTTCAAAACACCACCATAAATGAAATCAAAAAAGTCCTCTTCGATCCGATACCTGGAAAACAAGTTACTCGGGGTCAAAGGTCGCAAAAACGGGTTTTTCGCGATTTTCAGCAAAACGGTAAGTTTATCATAAAATTAGTTTAGACAAAATTGTAGATCAGATAATTATCTATAACAAATGTCTAAATACTTTTTGTCCTAAGAGCCACCGTTTCCGAGATATAACGATTAAAAACATTGGAAGAGTTTTAATGGTCATAATATGCACACCTTTGCACGCCACCTTTGTTGTACTTATATTATCCCCCTTATTCTGAATTTTCGTAATACGTAATTCGCAGATACGCTACGAAAAATCCACATGCTGCAACCGTTGCGGAAACATGTGCAGCATTGCCAGCTATCAGTTGTTTTTCGAAGATAGCTGAATGAAGGAAACAAAGTGTAAAAAAATATAAAAAAAACCCAAAATTGGTTAATTTTACATATTTTGAGGAAAATAATGAATTCTGATGTATTTGCAATTATAGCAGCAGAGTAAGCGGGCGCTATGGCAATGGATTCACAAAGGTATGCGGAGCTGTCGGGCATGGTAACCATGGACGCATCTATGTCAGCTTCTGGTTGAATTGTTGAACCACAAGCCAGAACTACTCCTATGCCTGAAGAACTCGTTCTCAATCCAGTTAATGCAATAACAGCTTCTTCCAACCCATTGAAAACATGCACTTTGTTAGGTCCGCCACCTGTTGCATTTGCTTCTGCCTTCGGCCGCGCTTAGGGATTATAACCCTTACTAAGTAGAATTCACCTTTCTGTGTTGCCGAAGAAAAGGGGCTTTCGCATGTCAAAGGTGTACAACATTTCTTGTGCATATCACTCCGGCTACGCCGTCCACAGTATTTTTGCGCAGAACCCATGTCAAAATTTGCAAAAAAATGCATAGTGAAAAACCGAGTTAATAAGCTAGTGGTAGAAAATTTGATACATTTATCTTAAAAAAATTTGAATCCTTTGATTACACGTGTATGTTAAAGTTTTTGGATTCGGGCTATGCGTTTGGACACAACATCCGAAAATCGTTGTACAAATAACTAAACCGGAGCCAAGTTTCTCGATAAGGGGCAACAAAGATTCTTTTTTGCTCGTTTCGTGAAGCAGTGGATAAAAATATACGTATATGCGAAAGGCAAATTTATCTGTTTAAATAAACAACACCAATATTTCTTGCAAACAGACATTAGTTGTGTTTTCGTATTCTCCAGCAACAAATATCCAGTAACTTGCCAGTAACCAAATTTCGGAGAGTAGGCCAATATTTACTCCCAATGAGTGAAATATGCAAGTAAGAACGAAAACGCAAAACCAGCAAGAAGTTGCTAGTTTTATGTACAGCTGATTAATTTGTTATTTTCTAGTATTTTCCATCTTATTATAAATTTAATTAGTTTTATTTTGTCAATTGCAACTCTAAAAGCACTACAAACAATTATTTTGTTAATATGAATTACATTAAGCATCATGCCGTCAGCTGTTTTTCTTACTAGCAAATAGTTGCTAGTAAAAATTTATCCAGTAAAAATCCAGTAAAACTTGCAAGTTCAGCTGTCATTTTTGCTCTCAATTTCCCCTCTTTTGCTAGTTTCCTGCAAGTTTTTGCGTAGGAAAACGACATCCAGTAAAAAACCAGTAAAATTGGTACTGGATTTACTGGATAGTGCGTACGCGAACAGGGCTATTGATTTACATCTTTTATTTCGCCTCCGACACAGAATTGTTTTCGTACAAAATTACACAAAAAGCTTAATCGTTCGTTTTTAGGCATGTCATTGTTACGAATTTCGAAAGTTCGAAAATACGATTCGGATTGCAGCATACTATTTTCACGATTCGTAGCAAAATCCGAATACGAAAGAGTTGCAGAATAGGGGTGTATATTATGCCGATTACAACTCTTCCAACTTTTTAAATCGTTATATCTCGGAAACGGTGGTTCTTACGAAAAAAAGTATTTAGACATTTTTTATATAGATAACACTGGATCACAAATTTTAATTTGGGTTTTGTTCTCCAGACGCCACTATCCAATTCCTACGTAGAATTGCTCGGTGATTCCGAAAATCGAGTTAATTTTTTTTATGGATACGTTTTCGAGATATTTGCAATTTACCGTTATTCAGCTTAAAGCAAAAATTGGTTTCTTTTAATCACGTATATCTTACGAACCAATTTAAAAATCTTAATACAAAATACGGCAAATGAAAGCCAATGAAATTCTACATAAACCGTATATACATCACTTTCCGATAGGGCTTATAGTTTCTGACAAGTTAATTAATCATTCCTGCTTTTTTATTTTTTAATGAAAAAAATCAAACTTTTAATAGAAGAAAAATTTAGAAAGTAACAGGTTCTGTTCCAAATTTTGTCATTTGTACTAAAGCCCGTTCTGTTACAAAAAAAATCAGTTACTGATGAAGAAAATCGATGGATAAATACGAAATATGAGTGGTCAAATGAGAATGCGCAAAGATTGTTTGTATGAAATACGAGCAGTAAAGCGTGTTACTCATACGCCACGTACACTCGAACTTCCAACTTTTTGAATCGTTATACATAACTCGGAAACGGTGGCTCTTAGGACAAAAAGTATTTAGACATTTGTTATAGATAATTATCTGATCTACAATTTTTGTCTAAACTAATTTTAAAAAATAAATAATAATAAAAAAATAAAGTTTTTTCTTAACAGCGGTCGTCCCTCGGCAGGTAATCGCAAACCATGAAAAACAGCTTCTCATAAAAATACAATCGCCGTTCGGATTCGGCGTAAAACTGTAGGTCCCTCCGCTTTCTGTGACAACATCAAGGCGCACGCCACAAATCGGAGGAGAGGCTCGGCCAAACACTAACACATGTGTAAGCGCCAATCTATTATTATTATTACTATTATTATTAATTTTATGATAAACTTACCGTTTTGCTGGAAATCGCGAAAAACCCGTTTTTGTGACCTTCGACCCCGAGTTACTTTTTTCCAGGTATCGGATCGATGAGGACTTTTTAGATTTCATTTATGATGATGCTTTGAACAATCCTACCACTTTTCAGCTGGGTGAGAATTTTTGTAACCTCAAATGTCAAAATTGACCGGACTAGTAAGCAACAAAATTTCAAAAAATCAATGCCAGTTTTTGTAAATTGCACTTGTTGTGTAAAAAGATCCATTAAGTAGTCTCCAAAAGAAATCCCAAAAATCAACGCGATTTTTCTGCCGTTTGAAACTTGCACTTTATTAGACTAGAATTGTATGGGCTATAAAACTACATACCCAAAAATATTCTAAAAATTCAGATTAAAAAGTTTGAAATTTGGATGAAAATTTGTTGAATTTTCTTGAACTTTTTATAAAATTTGAAACTGTGATTTATTTTTTGGGTAAAGCTGGGATGGTGTTTTTATAGAAAAATAACCAAACATTAAGCTCGAAAACCATTACGAATATTAAAAAAAAAAGTGGTAATTTTTTTGAGTCACTGCATGTATATATAAAGAAAAATAAATTACCTTAAACGGTTATTCTAGCGTCAGCGCTAGAATTTTTTCCCATATTTCCCACTGTTCGGTCTGTTGAATGCTATTAAGTCTGAAAGTAAAACATATCCTTCCTAAGAAATAAAATGCATTATTGCAATGGAGGCGTCTACCGAACATAAGTTTATTGTCATTAATAGCTGTTCACGTGATTATTGTTGTTCTGTTGTTCACGCATTAATTACAATATGCTTTGTACATAATACAAAAGCAAATATAAAATAAAGATTAATTCTTAATCTCATATTTTTAATTTACATATGTATTTGTAAACTTAATAATAAAGTTAAGGCAATGACAAAATTTTGTATCACAATTTAAAATGCTGGTCTATTACGTAGTCATCTTTAAAATTTTTAATTCTTCCAAAAACTTAGCCTCCATGGAAATTTTATTGAGCTGATTTAGTTCAAGTGTTTCTCCTTGCTCTTGACGTAACTTTAATTTTTTAATGTCAGACAACTTTTTAGCTACGTGGCGAATCTTTTTTTCTTTTTCAGGATTACCGGACTTTTTGGGTCCTTGTTTGAGGATTTCTTGAGGACCATCGTTTAAAACGTTTATCGAATCTGTTTCTTTTACCAATACTTGCTTAGCCGGCTTGTGCTTCCGATTTTGGCAATGAAACTCATCGACAGTCGACTCCGTGCCGTTTTTACAACTTAAGTTCTTCTCTCCACTTTTTGCAACGCCTAGTTCTTTCTTATTTTTTGTCTTATTAGATTTATCAGCCATTGATTTCAATCCTCCCTTCCTGCTGGCAGATGAACCTTAAAATGAAATACAAAACATACTGTGTAAATATGTACGATTAAATAATTAGTTCAGATAGTTATTTAGCTCTATTAAATAAATACATTAGGGCTGTGCGATTAATTGATTATTCAAAATTTTAATTAATTGTAAAGTAAATAACTCAATTATTCTATTAATTGGAAATTATGATTACTCAAAAGTTCAGTTACTCGAGTAATCAAGATTTTGATTAACGAAAAACAAAAATATTTGAGTAATTTACTTCATGATTAACCCACATTATGAGTAAAATGAGTAATCAACATTTCGAAGTACTCCTGACATATAAAGTAGTTGAAGTTCCTTAATACTTTAAATCCAACGTTTCTGTTTTCAAAAATTAACTTATAACCAGGGCAACTAAAATAAACCATTTGCCTAACAATGCTGACGCTGCATATTTTATAATTTTGTGCTATTTTATTCTTCGTTTGTGCTATTTTGAAATTTTTTCGTACAAAAAACTTGTTTTCGTACATATATATTATAAAATATCCAAAAATTTAATTGGTTTACGTTCATAATTTTTGATATGGCAATATTGCCATCTCGACATGGCATGTGATAATATTTTTACCTTTTTCGCACTTCAACCAAGGCAAAGAATATAGTGGCGAGACAAAGAGAGCGACAAGACATTTTCGGATAATAGCGAAGAAAGATACATGAAACGTGAAGACACAGTGAAGTCGAGCGACGAATACATAGAAAATTATAAATTACAAATTATAAAATATAAATTAAACTATCAATATTAATTTTTGGAATGGGCGATATAAGTACTCATTTATTTACGTTTCTTTTCAAATGCAAAACATAATTCGGTAGTAGTGCATTTTAGCGGAACCAGGTAAAAAATTGACGGAACAATTCGAGAGGGGTGTCAATCGATGCGTCTTAACGCCAATAATAATAATCCGATAGCGGAAATTAACACTTTAAATTAATTAAAGTCATTTACAAAAAACACTTGAATTTTTCGCACTATGTTTTGATAAATTTCACACAAATAAATGGAGTAAGGGAACGCAACTTAATACTTTTTTTAACTTTTTGTACATTTATGATGTATTAAGTGAACATTTTCGCGAAATCGTATATTTAATGGCAATATTCCGGCGTTGAAAATTCGCGCAACAATCTCGTCAAGTTAATAAAAATAAGATTGAGGAAAACTGGTGCTGCCACTCTATCAATACAATTTGAATTTCAACTTTAAAAACACCCAAATTATGCACAAGAAATATACTTTTGTCAAAATAAGGGGAGTTGTGTTCCTTTTCTTCGGACACAAACAGGAGAGTTCCACTTAGTGAGGTTTATAATCCGTATGTGCGGCCGAGGGCCGCCTACGCAGAAAGGTGTTCATCTGCAAAAGGCGTTCAGCCCATCTTCTTTGGCAACACAGAAGGGAGAAGGTGACAGGTAATAAGATCAACGGAAATAAGGTCAATTGGTTTTATTTCCCACCCTGGTGCGAAATAAAGTCAATTGGCATGATTAAATAATCAATAGTTGTTTATACCCGCATTTTGGCATATTGGCTTGTTGAATGTGCCATGTAATAAATAGTGTCGTCGTTCTCCTTAGCTGCTTTTAAATGATGTTGCCACAAATTGCTGGCGGAGACATGAATACAGTGTAAGAAAATTCCTTTTCTATAATCGTTTTCTTATAGAAAGGTTGGTTTCTTTTCCACCTTAGACATTCCGAATTCGTTCAAAATATGCTAATTTAAAACACAGAACTTTTCAGTGTTCCTCCGGGTTTTTTTTTTTTACATGTACTGTTTCCTCAATTTAATAGCGTTCGCTTTATTTTCGTGGACACGAAACATGTTTTGTTCTGGATCATTTCTACACTCTTTCTTCAAATATTTCTCATATTCCAGCTGCGTTTTGCATTTGGTTTTTCGCATCGTGCTTTTACTATATTCGTAATTTTAAATTTTTTAATAAAATCAATTGGTGGTAGTTCATGATTGTGTGTGGATCATTAGCACCACACTGAGGATTTGGCAATAACCTTTTTCATCTATTAAAAAAAGACACTTACGGGGCAATGTTTATTGTAAGAACAACGTTTTTTCTATGAACCGACATACTTTAAGCATTGTTGACGCTATTTCCATTTGAATGAGGAAATACCGTCAATGACTTCATTTCCACATTTTTGTTGACTTTATTTCGCTTTTGAAAAGGTAATGATGTCAATTGACTTCATTTCGCACCAGGGTGGGAAAGAAAGTCAATTGACCTTATTTCCGTTAATCATGTTATCTGTCACCAAAGAAGAATTATACGTAGTGAGGGCTATAATACCTAAGTGCGGCCGAAGGCCGCCTACGCAGAAAGGCGTTCTCCGCAAAAGGTGTTCAGCCCCTCTTTTTTGGCAACACAAAAAGCAGAATCTTACGTAGTGAGGGTTATAATCCCTAAGAGCAGCCGAAGGCCGCCTACGCAAACAGGAGTTTTTTATTAGAGTGGCACCACCATTTCCTAACCCTGTTTAGGTCGGCGAAATCCCTCAAAAGTTGTACGTCCATAGGGCTACTTCTTCTTCGCATACCTCTGCTCTGGGCTGGCATTGAGTCAAACCCTGGGTCAGAAACATATACCTGCTGCGTGTGCCAGAGACGATTACACCACAACTTCACCTCCGTCAGATGCAATACATGCAATGGGTGGAGCCACCTGCGAGTTTGCTCAGGCCTCACGTCTCACAGGCAATGGACCACTGCGTACGTGGCTCCTTGCTGCACCATCCTGCAGCCTCCACGGCACAACAGAGTCCCCCTGAGCAACTCAACACAAACACATCCGCACCACAACACAATACAATAGGCAATACCACAGACACAACATACCACACTACAGATACAACTGCACCACCACCGATACGCCTCTCCTAGTTCCTCCGACAATCTGCACGGTATGCCAGTCCAGGATATTCCGTAATGTGACATCAGTCAAGTGACACACCTGCCTTGGCTGGTATCACTAGAGGGCATGCTCAAGACTGCGCACAACGCGAGATTGGACGAGGGACTATGAGGGCCCATGCTGTGCTGCTCGGTCGCAACCACCAGCCGCGACGCCGACCATGACAACACAGTGCAACAGCCTCAGCGGCAGCAAACACCGCATGTGGCGGCACGGCAACACACATCACTAGCACCCCACATTCCAATAAGTCTCCCTAGGCACACGAAGATTTTACAATTCAACTGTAACGGACTTCAGAGCAAGACCGAGGACATAACGGTCTTCATGGGTCGGCACGGAATATTAATAGCTGCGGTCCAAGAGACGAAGCTGCACGGCAATTCAACACTGTTGAATTGCGCCGGATACAACGTGCACCGTCGAGATCGCGAGCGAGATAATGGTGGAGGCCTAGCGTTCATCACGCACCACACCGTCCAGTATCGTCTTATCGAAGCAGACATCGACCGCAGGGATATCGTCTTAGAATGTCAGGGAATTGCTATCCCGTCAGGCGATGTCGAGCTCGAAATATTTAATATATACATACCCCCTGCCACCAGCTGCCCAGCAGGCTTCGCGGATGTTACTGAAGGCGCCTTCACTGCGCGGAAATCCCCGCATTAGGGATCTGAACTCGGAGATTCGGCAACTTGTGAACGTGGTCAACCGTGAGGTCATTGTCCAACCCGACGAAGCGTGACGACAGAGTTGAAATAGACTTTGGTGAACACGCTTCGTCGGACCAGGAGCGATGCGCGAGCTATTAGCCGGCAGTTCATCCTGCATCCTCCGGTGGATAAAGCCTAACGTCGAGTGACCAGAAGGCTGCGCAAACTTCCAAAACCAATTGCGCCTCTTGTTTTCACCAGCGGTGAGGTAGGGGTAGCCATCGGGAAGGCGAAAGCCTCCAAAGCCATTGGACCCGACGGAATATGCATGCTGATGCTGAAAAATTTGGGCCCTAAGGGAGTAGCGTATCTAACGGAGGTCCTCAACTTGTCAATGGCCACTCTCGTCATTCCAGATATCTTGAAGATGGGGAGAGTGGTCCCACTGCTCAAACCAAGGATACCAGTCAACAAAGAAGAGTGTTATCGTCCGATTACCCTCCTTTCCCCGGTAGCGAAGACACTAGAGGCCTTGCTACTTCCGTATTTTACAAGCCACCTGACCCCAGCGAAGCATCAGCATGGGTTCCGTAAAGTGCACGGTACAACAAAAGCACTTAACGCCATAAATACTCAGATAACTTGTGGCCTAAAACGAAAGCGCCCCTGTGAGAGAACCATTCGAGTAGCGCTGGACCTGTTTAAGGCGTTCGACACTGTCAGCCATTCAACGCTACTAGAAGACATAGAGGCCTCCTCTCTACCACAGGGACTCAAACGGTGGTCGGCGAATTATCTGAGTGGTCGTCACTCGTCGGTAACTTTTAGAGACAAATCGAGTAAACCAAGGAAAATAAAACAGGGGCTTCCACAGGGTGGTGTCCTTTCCCCATTACTGTCTAACTTTTATATTTCAAAGCTCCCTCAACCACCAGAGGGAGTCTCGATTGTCTCTTATGCCGAGGATGCTCGATCATGGCGTCAGGGAATGGAATTGATGACTTGTGCTCGAAAGTAAACGGTTATCTTGAGCTTTCTCGCTTCTTCACTGCACGGAGCCTAACCCTCTCCCCTACAAAATCCTCAGCCACACTTTTTACCACCTGGACGAAGGAGGTCAGACTCCAACTGGGAATTCACGTCGATGATACATCAAATCCGACGGTGAACAACCCGAAGATACTCGGAGTAACATTCGATAGTCTACTCTCCTTCTCGGCGCATACAACAGCAATTGTCAACAAAGTACAAAGCCGCAACAAGGTCCTCAAGTCGCTAGCCGGCAGCACTTGGGGCAAAGACAAAGAAACGTGGCTGGCAGCATACAAGGCAATTGGCCGGCCGGTTCTGAACTAGGCTGCGCCAGTGTGGTTACCGGGG